CTGCACCCTTTGGATCCTCATTATGCTACAATAGTGATCTTATACAGTATCTGTACTTTTGGGACTGAGTTAGTCCATTCAACAAAATGCTCTCCAGTTCCTACCAAGTTAGGTAGTAATTTATAAAATCACTGGTCCCGTATGCTGCATAGTATTCCATTGTGTGAATGTACAACAATTTCTCCATCCAATTTGATTGTGGTTGGACATTTGGGCTGTTTCCATATTCTTGGCGATAGTGAATAATGCTGTTGTGAACATTGGTGTACAAGTGTCTATTTGTGCCTCACTTTTCATTTTCTTGTGGTATATTCCAAAGAGTGGAATAGCTGGGTCATTTCTATGTTCAATTTTCTGAGGAAACACCAAACTGCCTTCCAGAGTGGCTGTACCATCATACAGTCCCACCAACACTATATAAGAGTGCCACATCCTCTATCTTGCCACATCCTCTCCAACTTTTATTACTTACTGTCCTGTTAAACTTTGCCACTGGTACTGGAGTGAGATAGTAGGTATCTCATTGTGGTTTTGATTTGCCTCTGTCTTATGGCCAGTGATTTTGAGCATTTCTTCATGTGTCTCTTGGCCATCTGAATATCTTCCTCTGTGAAAAGTCTTTCCATGTCTTTTGCCCATTTTGTAATTTTTTTTATCAAGGAAGACTATTTCTAGATCCATTTTCAAATACAATATTGTGAGCAACAGGATAATATCCATACACATACCACTATCATTAATACCACTATCATTCAGATATAGATATAGAGATATATAGATAGATAAATACACACACACACACACACATCCACAACCAGAGCCAAAGAGGGAGGAAATAGAAGATTTCTACCAACTTTTGCAGTCAGAAATCAATTGATCATGCAGTCAGGTTGTATTAATGATAATAGGTGACTGGAATGCAAAAGTTGAAAACAAGGAAGAAGGATCAGTTGTTGGAAAACATGGTATTGACAGAAATGAGGTTGGAGAACAAATGATACAATTTTGTATCATCAATGATTTATTCATTGCAAATATCTTTTATAAGAAACACAAACACAGACTATACATAGGGATTTCACCTGATGGTCTGCACAGGGATCAGATTGATTAGATCTATGGAAAGAATTGTTGGAGAAGCTCAGTATCAGCCATGAAAACTAGGCCAGGTGCTGATTGTAAAAACAGAACATCAACTACTCGTATGCAAGTTCAAACTGAAGCTAAAGAAAATGAAATAAAATCCACAAGAACCACAATTTGACCTTGACTCTGTCCGAACTGAATTAAAAAACCCTTTTAAAGAACAGGTTTGAGTTTTGTACACTAATGAACGAAGATCAGATTAATTATGAGAGGCTATCAAGAATGTCATCTATGATGAATGCAGAAAGTCCTTACAAAGACAGAGGAGGAAGAAAAGACGTAGATGGTGTCAGAAGAGACTGTGATGATTATTGCACTAGAGCATTGAGAAGCCAAAGCAAAGAAATTAAGGAGCTAAACAGAAAACTTCAAAGGGCAGATTGGGAAGACAAAGCAAAGTATTATAATGAAATGTGCAAAGAGCTGGAGTCGGAGAATCAAAAGGGCCAAACTCTTCTTGGCATTTCTTAAATTGAAGGAACTGAAGAACAAATACAGGTTTCGAGTTGCAATTTTTAAAGATGCTATGGACAGAATATTGAATGATCCAGGATGCATCAATAAAAGATGAAAGGAGTACACAGAGTCACTGCCAAAAAGAATTGGCTGACACTGAAGAATTTCATGTAACAGCATATGACCAAGAGGCAATGGTGATGAAGGAGGAAATTCAACCTGCTCTGCTCTAAAGGAATTGTCAAAAAACAAGGCCCTAGGAATTGACGGAATATCAATTGACATATTTCAGCTAACAGATGCTACCCTGGATGTACTCAACAAGTTGTACCCAGAAATGTGGAGGACAGCTACCTGGCCAGAGATCCATATCTATTCCCATTCCAAAAAAGGGTGATTGATCCAACAGTTGTTGTTATGTGCTGCTGACTCGCTTGCGACTCATAGCAGTGACCCTGTGTACAACAGCTCTCTGAACCTTGCTCAATCTTGAGCCAACTTTACTGTCTCTGACACACCTGCCCCCATTACTCCAGTCACTGAGTCAGTCCATCTCATTGAGGGTTTTCCCCTTCTGTGCTGTCCCTCCACCCTCCCAAGCATAATGTCGGTCTCCAAGGACTGGCCCTCCCTTGCAGCATGCCCAAAGTATTTCAGAAGGAGCTTCAGCATCCTGGTTTCACCTTCTCCAGGATTAACCTGTTTGTTCTCTTAGCAGTCCATGGTATACTCAATACTCTTCTCCAGTACCACAATTCAAAGGCATCATCAGTTCTCTTCTGTCATCCCTAGTCATTGTCCAGCTTTCTTTTTTTTAAAAATTTTTTATTGCTGTTTTTAATGCTCTAAAAATTTTTTTTATTATTAATTTCAATGAAAATTTACAGATACTTTGGATTTTCATTCATTCATTGTTGCACTTTTCTCCCCTGCATACCCCCCCAGTACACTCTCCACTTGGAAAAAGAAAAGAAAAATTCTTTCATTGTTTTACAGTCCCTCCCCACCCAGGTCCACTCCACTATGCAACCTTTGCTCTGGACTCCCATCATGACAAAAATAACCTAATCACATATCCCTTTTAAACAGTTTTCTCCCTCATTTGTTTCAATGCAGTATACATTATTGAACCTATCTTTCTCAGTCTCCCCCCAGCCCTAGGTCAGTCCTGTTTTACAACAGTGGCACCATGCAGTATTTGTCCTTTTGTAACTGAGATACTTCACTCAGCATAATGTCCTCCAGGGTCACCCATTTTGAATAATATTGCATGAGTTCCTTATTTTTCAATGCAGTGTAGTATTCCATTGTGTGAATATACCACAGCTTCTCTATCCATTCATTTGTTGATGGGCACCTAGGTTGTTTCCACCTCCTTGCTATTGTGAACAAAGCCATGATAAAAATGGGTGTGCATATATCTGCATGGGTGGCAGTTATGGTCTCTTTGGGGTATATTTCCAGTAGTGGAATTGCTGGGTCAAATGGTATCTTTATTTGCAACATTTTGAGAAAGCGCCACACCACCTTCCACAGTGGTTGCACCATTTGACACTTACTCCAAATAGTGAATAAGGGTTTCAGTTTCTCCACAACCTTGCCAGCATTTGTTGCTTGCTGTTCTGTCAAATTTTGCTATTCTTACTGGGGTGAGATGGTACCTCATTGTTGTTTTGATATGTATCTCTCTTAGAGTTAGGAATTTTGAACATTTCTTCCTGTGTTTGTTCGCCATCTGAATGTCTTCTTTGGTGAAGTGTCTGTTCATATCCTGTGCCCATTTTCAGTTGGATTGTTTACCTTTATCTTGTTGTGGTCTGAATGTCTTCTTTGGTGAAGTGATCAGCTTTCTGAAGCATAGCATGTAATTGCAAAAACTATGTTGTGATCCACACAGTCGTTTGCCTTTGTGTAGTCAATGAAACAGACATTCTTTTGGTACTGTTTTCAGCCAGTATCCATCTGACACTGGCAATGATTTTCCAAGTGGCACGGCCTCTTCTAAATCCAGCCTGTACTTCTGGTAGTTCTCTGTTCCAGTCGTTTTGAATAATTTTCAGGAAGATTCTGTTTGCATGTTTTCATTAGTTATACCGTTCAGTAATTTTCACTCTGTTGGATCCAGTCAGTTGGCCAGGTGGTTGTACTCCAGATTTCTTGGAACAACTTAGTGAGTGCACCCAGGGGCAGCATTTGTTTATTGAAATATGTCAATTGGTATGCCATCAATACCTGAAGCTACTTTGAGAAAAACAAGGTTTTCATATGCAACGTATACTTGGACCAGGAAGTGGTCTTCAGAACAGAGCAAGGAAACACTTCGTGGTTCAAAATTATAAAAAAAGTACTACGTCAGGATGTGTCTTCTCTCCCATACCTTTCCAATCTGTGTTTGGAACAGATCATTTAGGAAGCTGGGCTTTATGAGGAGGAATGTGGCATTAGGATTGGAGGAAGACTCTACAACTTATGTTATGCAGATGATATAACCTTGCTGAAACTGTGGAGGACCTGAAACATCTGCTGCAGAAAGTCAAGGACTGCAGTCTTCAATATGGATTGAAACTCAGAATAAAACAAAGATTCTCTTCACGGGCCAATTGATAGCACCATGATAGATATTGAACTCCATCTCACATACTTTGGACATGTTGCCAGCAGAGACCAGTCCTTGGAGAAGGACGCCTTGCTTGGAAGGGTGGAGGGACAATACAGGAGAGGAAAACCCTGGATGAGATGGATTGACTGGGGTGATAGGGGCAATAGTTGCAGGCAACTTATTGGCACATAAGAACAACAACTGCAGTTTTTGATGCTATCAGCAGCACTTTGTTTCAGAAATAGATAGCTAATCTAGTATGTGTTAGTCTTGAAGTTCTACTGAAACCTTTCGTGCCGTGGGTGACCATGCTGATACTGAAATACCACTGACAAAGCAATGTTTAAGCCACCTCAATCAATATATCATCTGGCAGGAATGTTAGGGTCTTCCTTGTAGGTGTGTATATCATTGACAGTATTGTTCTTTGGAATGGTATATTTGTCAAGAAAGGTGACACTATCTTCAGTTTGTCATTCTTTACATAATGGGTTCTTTGTTTATGCCATGCATCCCTAGTACAATTCCAACTTGTCCATAGCAAAGCTGTCAGTGAAATAGGTGTGGTTTTGAGTACAGTACAGCTATCTCTGAACCTCAAGTCTTGCCCTTGTTTCCTTAGTTCTCTAGTAGGGGCCACTTAACTTCCTGGAGCAACAGTTTTTGATTAAATAGTGCTGACTGTATCTACCTACTTCTGTAACAGGGCTGTTGAGGCTCCAGTGAATAATGCTGAGCACAGAGCTCTCCTTTGGAAGATTATAACTGATTTTCTCATTTATCTTTCCCCCCAACACAGATTGACCTCGCCATTGATGGTGCCGATGAAGTAGATGCAGACCTCAACCTTATCAAGGGTGGTGGGTGAGTGTTGCAGGCGTTTTCTGCTGAGTCATTGGAGCCGACCATAGTGGAGAGTAAACAGTTCTGTGGTGGTGCGTGTGAGAGCATTGTTAGCATGTGACCTTGGAGCCGGCCTGGGCTCCTGGACTTGCTGACTGGAAACTTGGAGTTCTTGATGGGTTTGTTACATATGTTTGCAGTCTTCTGTTGACTTACACTCTAGCCAAAGGGCTCTACTGTGTGCTGTTAGGCATTACCACACAGAGGTGACGGTTTACACTGTGCTTACATTGTGAGCACAAAATAGAAGCCCCTTCCAGTAAAGGCAGAGTTACACCACATAATGTAAGTCCATAAAGCAAGCACAGTGTAACATGGAAGTGGGGCCGACTGTGGTGAAGTAGAGCATGTGACCACCTTTCTGCGGGGAGACCACTTTTGTGCTCTAGCTAATACAGACTAAGAACTGTACAGATCAAACCAGATGGGTCACTGGGGTGGACTAGGCCTGTGCATCAGAGCACAACCTTTGCTTTAAAGCTGTATGTATTGAGAAAGGCATGAGACATTTATTAGAAGTTTAGGTACTGGTCATTTATTAAGTGAGGGGTGTGGTAGATGAGTTTAAAAGGTAAAATCCTGTTCTCTTGGTCCTTGTAACCAAGCAGCCTTTTTGGAGTGACTAACAATTTTTTTAGATTATACTTTAGTGTGTATAGGCATTTTTACATATATTTCGTTTTCTAGAGTGTGTTGATGACTGGCAGATAGGCAGTCATCCCCTGACGTACCTACTTGCCACATATCCCCTTGGCTGTCAGTCACTGAGAGGGCTGGTTGTTTAAACCTTCCCTGACTTTGCATGTGCTGCACCTATAATACTTGCCACGTGCACATGGCACTCTCTCCACGCTTCCTCCCTAGTGACTCACGCATGGCATTTTGACTGGGACTCATCAGTTTCTGCAAGTTCAAAAGACCAGGCCAGTTTGGAATCTCTGTAATACATACAACATGGCAGGGGTAGGGATATTTAAGAATAAAAAGTTCCATTTCCCAATTCTTGTAAGTGCCAGAATTGTCCATGAACAAGTCTGTCTAGGAGTAAGACTAATAAGGATGTTCCTTAGAGACAAAGATGGTGCAGCTTGGTCTTACATGCTTTGGGCATGCTGTCAGGAGGGGAAAGATATGCTGGGAAATGTGTAGAGTTAGAGAAAGAGGAAGATCCTCAACATGATAGATTGACACAGTGGGCTGGAGCATATCAGAGCTGGTGAGCATGGAGCAGGGCAGGGCAAGGTTTGTAAGATTTCTGTGAGTCGTAGTGGCACCAAACAGCAGCAGCATATCTGACCTTCATTCCAAAGTTGAGCTGTAATTTTTGTTTTTAAATCCTGTGTTGTTTATTATTATTTTTAATATTAAATACTGTGTTCACTTGCCTCTTCCAATTTTCAGAGGCTGCCTGACTCAGGAGAAGATTGTAGCCGGCTATGCCAGCTGCTTCATTGTGATTGCTGATTTCAGGTATGATGCCAGGTGTTCTGAATGCCCTCACCCATAAACCAGGGAGACTGGGCCCTAGGCCTCAGCCCCATTTTATGGAAGGAGAAAAAGAAGTGGAAGGATTACCTGATGTTCAGAGGTCTTGAGGACTGGTGGCTATGACTTAGGACAGAGTCTGGAATGACATAGGCTCTGCTTTGTTGCTGAAAGCAGAATCTCAATACTTTATTTCTTGTGCTTTGTGGGAAGAAGGAGTGTGCACAGGGCATGTCTTCTGGTGCCGCTTGTTTGATCTGCATAGGGCTCCCAGGATGGTGCGGGGTGAGCTACTCATGAGCAGTGGCTCAACCAGGGCTCCTTTCAGGTCAGGCCTTGCCATGCCGATGAGTGTGCAAAGTGCAGGACCAGACATCAGGCAGAAGACACTTGTGTTGAGCATGTTATTAAAAAAAACCCCAACAGCCTCACAATTAGTACTGATTTATTTGGAAATGTTACAGAATAGGCTTAAGTCATGTATTACCTGAGTACCATAAGCCATGTTACATTTAACAGTTTTGTCATGCTACCTTAAAATGTAGTAAAACAGTCAAAAATCTTTGTTGTTTGTCCTTGATGACTTCCTTTGTCTCTCCAGTGTAAAATTACTCCCTGTCTGAATTTTATTATCATCTGGCCCATTAAGCATATTTATTTCCACTGTAATTTTTGACTTTTCCTTTTCAGGAAGGATTCAAAGAATCTTGGGGATCAGTGGCATAAGGGAATCCCCATTGAAGTCATCCCAATGGCCTATGTCCCTGTGAGCCGAGCTGTGACCCGGAAGTTTGGGGGTACAGTTGAACTCCGAATGGCCGTCAACAAGGCAGTGAGTGGCAAGGCAGTTTCTAGAGGGCTTTCTGAATTCTCACATACTGTCCCATTCTATGTTCCTGTTAAGCTCAATATGCTGTTAGTTGAGATTTAGAAACAACTTTATCCAAATGCTGGCTCTTTTTATCCAAATACATTTGGATAAGAAGGCCATATTTAATACAGTTTCGATCCTCATAAATACCTGGGTGGCCTGGTTTGTAGCTTTCAGCATAAGCTTAGGGAAACTCCTTGGTACACAGGTTGTCTTAGGTTCCATGATGGGGTTGATCCCCCCCACCAGTTTCCTCTCTTTTGATGGTTAAATATGAAGTACGATTTTGTGGGGCCGGGAATCCCTGCCCATGAATAACGCACCACACTATTAGTCTCTAGTGTTTCTCTAACTTGAAAGCCAATTGTACAGAATTTATTTCTCTTAAATGTAGTAAATAAACGAGTAAAAAGAATAACTCTAAAGTAGTTACTGAGATAGCGATATAAAAAATTTGAACTGGAACATATGTCTGTCTGTGTTTCGTTGACTATGCAAAGGCATTTATGTGTATCACAACAAACTATGGCTGACTCTGAGAAGAAGAGGAATCTCAGAACATTTGATTGTGGATGGCACTTAACAACAACATACTTGGACCAGGAGGCAGTCGTTAGAACAGAGCAAGGAGACAATACATGGATCAAAATCAGGAATGGTGTACGCCAGAGATGTATTCTGTCTCCATATATTTTCAATATATTTATATATAGATATATATCTATATATATATGTGTGTGTGTGTGTGTGTGTGTGTGTGTGTATGTCATCTGTCAGGCAGGGCTGTATGAAAAGGAATGTAGCATCAGGCCTGGGGGAAGATTCATCAACAACCTGAGTTATGCAGATGACAACCCTGCTTGCTGAAACTGAGGCGGACCTGAAACACTTGGAGCAGAAGATCAAGGACTGCAGCCTTCAATATGGGTTGAAGCTCAGCATCAAGAAAACAAAGATTCTTACTTCCGGGCCAATTGGCAGCATCATTATGAATGGTGAAGAGATTGAAATTGTTAATAGCTTTAATTTGCTTGGCTCCACAATCAACACTCTTTTTTACCAGCAGCCAGGAAATTAAGAGATGAATTGCATTGGGAAAGTCTGCTGTCAGGGACTTCTCCAGAGTGCTGAAGAGCAACGACATCAATCCAGAGACTAAAGTGTACTTGATCTAGACCATAGTCTTCGCAGTTGTTTGTTATGCTTGAGAACTGGACAGTGACTAGGGATGAGAGAGAATTGATGCCTTTGAGTTGTGTTGGAGTAGAGTATTGAATATACCATGGACTGCTAGGAGAACAAACAGGTTCATCTTAGAAAAGGTAAAACTGGGATGCTCCTTGGAGGCAAGGATTCTGAAGCTTCGTCTGATATACTTTGGATATGTTGTAAGGAGGGACAAGTCCTTGGAAGGGACATCATACTTTGGAGTGTGGAGGGACAGCACAGAAGAGGAAGACCCTTGATGAGATGGATTGATTTAGTCACTGGGGTAATGCAGGTAGGTGTGCCAGAGACAATAAGATTAGCGCAGGATAGAGCAGGGTTTAGAGCTCTTGTACATAGGGTTGTTATGAATCACAAGAGACTTGACGGCACATAAAAAAAATAACAACAATTCTGTGCTCATGCCATTTTTATTATGACATATTTTCTTTCCAGTTTGTTTTCTAGACTTTTAAAAAACAGCACGGAGTGGCATCCACTTCCTAAACAGCTTGTCCCTGGAAACTGTGAACTTTGATAAATGTCACTTGTTACAGAGAGGCTTCAGGCCTTTTGTTCATAGGGTTGCTATGAGTCATGCTTGACTTGAAGACAGTCAGCAACAACAACGATAGTAGTTGTTCAGCGCTCTGGTTATGCTTATTTTATAGCTACAAGGAGGGAGGGGGGAGTGGAGTTTCTTGTCCATTCCCTTTCCTTCATAGAGTCCCCCTGTCAGCGCTCATCTCTTCTCTGTGCCGTCAGCATCTGTGTTCCTAAGGAGCTGGCCTGCTTTTCTTCAGGGTGTACTGTTCTTACAGAGCTATTGAGGAATTCTAGATTCATTAACTTAAACTGCCTTCTGCCTGCTTGACCTCAGCACTTCCCACTGCTTTCTGTCTGTCTCCGATAAGAGCCTGTGGGGGGCATTTTGATGATTGTGGTAGTATTGTCCCATTTCACACAATTGAAGATGTGAGAAAATTGTATGATATTGTTATTGGGTACTATTGAGTCAGTTCCAGTTCCAGAAACATAGTAACAAATTATGGAGCACTCCTGTGAGTCTGTGGTCAGTGCTGACACTTCTTTCATGTCACCTTTGCGGCCTTAGGAAGGACCTGTCATTATCTCCATTTTGAAAACTTGGAGACTCACAAGTTGATAACCTCTTGAGATTCCCTTGTCTGCATCCTAAAAATCTCAAATTTAGTTCTTTCTGACTCCAAAATTTTTGTTTGTGATTGTTTTGCACCATTGCCTTCTAGAAAGCACAGGGCAGAGGCCTGGCTGGAACCAGATGGGTTCATTAGGATACTTGTCATGAGTTATTGCCTCCTGTCCCTTTTTTTTGTGTTACTTGTATGTACATCCTCAGTGATTATGGAAAAATGTCTTCTAGGGTCCTGTGGTGACAGATAATGGGAATTTTATCCTGGACTGGAAGTTTGACCAGGTGTACAAATGGAGTGAAGTGAACACTGCTATCAAAATGATACCAGGTATGTGAGTGGTAGTTGCCTGTCCAGGCCCTTCTCAAACGTTTTTGCCTCGGTCACAGGAGGCCCGCTGCACACCATGCGGGCTTTGTAAGACATGCTTGGTACTGGCACTTAATTTATATATACTGTGTATGTGATTCTTCACTTCATGGTACTTGAATGGCTTGCCTTTGACCTTTGTTTGCTCTTCTTCCCCAGGCATAGTTGTTGCTTCTCTAGAAGCTTTGTTGGGTGTGTGTCTTGCAGCCTTTTTCTCTGGGAGTCACCTAGAACAGTCAGGGGATGTAATCTGAAATAAGCTCCCCATTACTGATTAGAATCTTGGCCTCTAGGAAAGATAGTCCCCATAGTTTGCTATGGCCTACATTGTAGATTAGGTGCCTTGTGCCATGTGTTACAGCGATACTTCCCTGAAGAGTGTGGAGAGTGTTCTCAAGGAACTGATGGAAATCTAGGCACAGACGACTGTGACTGTGAGAATCCATGCCTACAGATTACCTAGAATGTGGCTAGTTCCACAGGAATGCACAAAGGCAGGCTTGTTTGGAGAGTTAGGGATGTTTCACTGAGTTAGACATTTCATCTTTGTCTCCGCGTATTCCAGGGGATCTATGTCATCTTTTAAAATGTCTCATTTGAAAAAAAAAAAATAAAAGGTCTCATTTGATCCCATTTTTATGAAGGAGTTATAGAGGAGTAAATGGGCCAGGAAAGCCTAAGTACTTTCCCAAGGTCCACAGCTTGAACATGAGTGGCATTACTATGATGGTAGGCTTATGTGATCTGTTCCCAGATTCTGACTTCATTCTCACTTCCTTGACTGACTAGTAGGCTGAGGAGGGCTTATCTGGCTTGGGGTTTTGGACTGTGGAGAGCCTCTTCTGCAGTATGCTCCAGGGAATGATGGCATGGGGCTAAGGGATTGGATGAAGACTTAACAGGCAGTAGAAAGACAGATTATGCAGATCCTGAGTGTTTGTATGAGGAGATGGACAAAGTGTCAGTCTCATGTCGTCAGAAACATTGAATGTGATGAAACTGGCTAGTGAAGCAGACAAGATGGTTGAGTGAGAGCAGTGACTATGAGTAGAGGCTGGAGTCGGTTACCAGGATGGGATCCTTCTAGCCATGTCCTAGCAGACCGACCTCTCAACAGTGGTTAACCACGAAGGCACTAGCTCTGTGCCTCACTTTCCTTTTCTGTAGAAAGGGCTGCTGGTGGTAGCTGCTTCATTGGATTGCTGGGAGAAATAATGAAGTAAAACTATACTCAACACTTAAGGAAATGATTGCTGAATGAACAACTATCTAGGAAGAAAGGATTGTGTCTTCATTGTTGATTAAAGATAGTACCTTGTGAGTTGTCTGTGTGGTTGGGAATGAAATGTGCTTAATTATGTAGAGAGCTGAGTCTTCCAACCTCACTTTAGTTGGTTGTCTTAGTGGTATTCTGTTGGCATGCAGAAGTATTAAGTCAAAAAGGTGAGTTTGATTATTCATCTTCTCATGCTTAGTTTTTATCATTTTAATTAAAGAGCTAAAGACCCAAGACAGCAGGAGGCAGAAGTGGAGGGTCACTCTTATTTGCCCCTGGTGATAGAGCAGATAATGGGTCTGATCACAGGGCCCTCCTGTGGAGGTGCTGGGTGTCTGTAGTTGCACTTCTTGCAGTGCCCACTAGGGAGTGCCGCTGCTCCTCCTCAGACTTTTCTCGCCTTTATGTAAGCATTAAGATCTTTTAAGGCAGTTTTGCCAAAATTTTACTTTCTACTTTGAACATTTTTACTTTCTTGGAAAAAAAAAAAAAGTAACCTTAGAGTTTACAAATTTTATTAGAAACTGAAACTAAGTTAAAGGGAGAGAGAGGCTAGCTATTAAGTTGTTCCCCCAGGGTCATCAGTGGTTTGTTCTCTCTTTTCTCTTCTTAGTTTGGTCCATTAGACTCCTTGCTGAAACAGGAGCAAGGGATGAATTTGCTTCATGGTGCTAAATTGTCCACCATAGATTGTACCAGTTTACCGCTAATGACTAAGCTGCACCTGATTCAGGCCATGGTCTTTCCAGTGGTCTTTCTGAAAGCTGGATAGTGAATAAGGATGGCCAGAGAAGGATCGATGCCTTTGAGTTTAGGTGTTGGAGAAGAGTGTTGAATAGCCCATGGATGGCCAAAAGAACAGACAGATAAATGTCCTGGAGAAAAGCCAGAGTGTTCCTTGGAGTCAAGGATGATGAAGATTCATCTCACATACTTTGGGCATGTTGGTAGGAGCAGCTCTTCTTGGAGAAGGACATATATCATGCTTAAAAAGATGGAGGGTCAGTGAAGGAGGGGAAGATCCTCAGTAAGATGGATTTGACACAGTGGCTGCTGCAATGGAATCAAGTATATCAGAGAGGTGTAGGGATGGCACAGGATAGAACAGGGTTCAGATCTGTTGTTCATAGGATTACTAGCTGTCATACTAGACTCAGCAGCAGTTCACAACCAGCAAAAATGTATGCAGTTCCTGGTTTCCTTACAAGGCTGTTCTAAGCTCTTGTGGTATAGGCCATAGGATCTGATCCAGAGACAATGCCTTTTAGTGGTTGGAATCCATCAGTGGTTCTATGGGAGAGAGGTCTCCTTGCATGCAGTTTACAGGCTCTGAAAACCTGTTGGAATTGTATTGGCTATGTTGGGTGACCTTTGTTTTGAAATGCCTGCCAAGTCTATTATCATTTATTATTGTTTTTTCCTTACTGACTTGGAGATTGGTGGATTGTAATGGGAGTACTTTGGCATATAGATCACAAATATTTTTAGTTTTGAAGAAATTTTGTCAAGGCTGGTGTATGATTAAAAACAGCAAGGTTTGGGGGGCTACGTAGAGTAGTTTTGGATGGAGAGTTTCTCAGAGAAGATAACTTGTCATCTAGTGTCTGGAAATGAAGATGAGCCAGGAGCTTGAAAATAACCAAGCCAAGAAAAAAGAACACTATTCTGGTAGCTCAGTGAGAGGTAAGGAGTTGTGCTGGACACCCAAAAGCAAGCAGTTCTAATCCACCAGCTACTGCATGGGAAAAAGATGGGCAGTCTCCTCCGTGAGGTAGGAAGAGGATTGTGGACAACTGAAAATCAGTCTTTTCATTGTCCTGGTGAAGGGGAGGACAAGATTTGTGACTGTCCAATGATGCCTGTGGGGGCTGCTTCTGGTGATCCAGCATCCTTGATGCTTTCTTGCCATGGGGAGCTAGAACTAAATGCTCTGTCCTTTTGTTGCAGGTGTGGTGGACACAGGCTTATTTATCAATATGGCAGAGCGAGTCTACTTTGGGATGCAGGATGGCTCAGTGAGCGTGAGGGAGAAACCTTTCCACTGACCTGAAGAAGCAGACGGCGTTCACCCTGTGCCCCTCAGCTGCAGCTGGGGTGGACCTGACTGTCCCACAGCCTTTGCCTTAACATGTCTGTGCCAGATGGACAGCTGGCAAGGGTGGTAGGGGCCTAAGTCAGTCTTCTGAAGTATTGTTATTAATGTCTTTTTAAAAAGAGAAATATAAACATATATTTTTACTACTGAAAACAATCTTTTTTAAAAATAAAGTAGCACTTGATTTCATGTTTTATATGAAACATTTACCAAAAAAAAAAAAAAAGAAAAGAAAGGGAGAGACTCTTTAAAACCTTTGACTTGAGTCTGCTGGGTAAGCTTCTCTGAATTGGATTTTCAGAGTTATGAAAAGTAAACTGGTGTAATAAATAGCTCAACCAAGAGCGATATTTTGATGCCTTACTGGAAACTTTGGGGTTTGTTTACTTGTCTGCCACTCTGTTTTGGTTTTGGTTTTGCTGTGGTTATGTACAATACTCGTTAATCTTAGGATCAAGTTTACATAAATGTGCAGAGTGGACTGTGTGGTGTGAGGATGGGCAATACTTCTGCTGGGAGCAGGTGATGGATTTCGTTAGGATCTCTGCTGGAAGCAGTTATGTGAATAAATTACAATACTGCCAAAGCACTTCTGTGAAATGTGGAGAACTTTTTAAAGTAATGTTTCTTTTTTTGTTTGTTTTTTTTCTATTCCTTTATTATTGTTTTTGTGATTTGGTGTCGGACATTGTCACCTTTCTCTGGTGTTTGAAGGTTGAAATAAAAAAGTATGTTGCCATTTGAATCTTTTTTATTATAAAAAAAAAGTCGCTGTGGCTGTGCAGGAAAATGCTGGTCACTCTGGTTGCATAAGAGTTTTTCTAATTCTTTCAAAAAACTCAAGTCAAGAGTAGTTTATTTTTTCTTTACCTTTGAAAGGGCTTTATTTCCTACTTACTGTTGTTCCCCCTCAGCTGATACTACAGTGATTTCCTGGGGTGTAAATGTCACAGGAGGAGAGTCCTCATCTTTATCGTAAGGAGCTGGTGGTGGATGCTAATTGCCAGAGAAGCTCTGCTTTTGGGTTGGCGGCACAACTCACTATGTACTGTATCACCAGAGCTTCAGGATGTTGCTTTGCAATGGAGAATAACACGGCTGAACAAAGGCTACAAGTTAGCCTCAGCTTTTCTAGTAGTCCACTGTTTAGAAACATTATCGCCAATGGCAGATGGATCTTGCTAGGTACGTTTCGTTGATTATGCAAAAGCATTTGATCCTATGGATCACAAAAAATTGTGGTTAACTCTTGAGAAGAATGGGAATCCCAGAACACTTAATTATGTTTATGCGAAACCTATACTTGGACCAAGACCAGGAAGCAGGTCTCACAACAGAGCAAGGAAACACTACATGGCTCAGAATCAGGAAAGGAGTGCTTCAGGGATGCATCCTGTTCTCCATACCTTTTCAGTCTAAGTGCAGAACACAGCATTCGGGAAGCTGGGCTTTATGAGGAGGAATGTGGCATCAGGATTGGAGGAAGACTCATCAACCTACATTATGCAGATGACACAAACTTGCTTGGTGAAACTGAGGAGAACCTGAAGCACTTGTTCCAGAAGACTGTAGTCTTCAATATAGATTGAAGCTGAACATTAAGAAGACAAAGTTTCTCGCCTCTGGGCCAGTTGGGAGCACCAGGATGGATGGAGAAGAGATTGAGCTTGTTAACAGTTGCCACTTGCATGGCTCCACCTTCAACACCCTTAGTAACAGCAGTCAGGAAATCAAAAGACTAATTGCATTGGGAAAAATCTGCTGTCAGGGAACTTTCTGTAGTACTTAAAAGCAACAGTGTCAGTCCAGAGACTAAGGGGCACCTAATCCAGGCCATGGTCTTCGCAGTTACTTGCTATGCATCAGAGAGCTGGACAATGACTAAGAGTGTCAGAAGAAGAAGAATCAATGCCTACGAATTGTGGTGCTGGAGAATAGTATTAAAATACCATGGACTGCCAAGAAAACAGATAAGTCTGTCTTGCAAAGGGTGAAACCAAACTTCTCCTTGGAAGCTAGGCTTTTGAAGCTCCAGCCCACATACTTTGAGTATGTAGCCATGAGGGAGAAGGCCATCATACTCAGAAGGGTAGAGGGACAGTGCAGGAGAGGAAGACTCCAGATGAGATGGATTTGTACAGTAACTGGGGCGATGGGGATTGGTGTGTCGCAGTCAGTGAGACTGGCCCGAACAGGGCAGACTTCAGAGCTGCTGTACATAGGGTCACTATGCATCACAGTCATGTAACAACCACCACCACCACTGTCTTTAGTCCTGGACATGTGAAAGTAGAAATGTGAAAGTGGGTGACCTGAAGTTTCCCCTCTGTACACCTTTAGCCATTCCTGAGACACAGTCTAGACAGCCTCTGTTGAGGACCTGCAGGATCCCTCCTACTGCAAAGACGCATCTGTTTAGACACCCCACCCCTTCCTGGGCTCTCATTTGCATGCTACTTGAACAGGTGTTTCTCTCTGCACTCTATTTTCAAGCTTGAATTAAAGCCACCAAGCTTGTTGGCATCTACTTGCTAAAATCACGCTATCGAGCCACAGTTAATCAGGACAGTATTAATGAGGCTTTTTGTGCACTGTGGGCACTGTACGTTGGCTGACAAGATGAATAGAATGCATGAGCAGTTCCTTAAAGTGGATTTAATATATGTATTAAATTTTAAAATAAAAGTAAACTGGGCGGCTTAAAACAACTACATGTGCCACATGTAAATTTTCGGTGATTTTCATAAGCCTTCACACCTGTGACCACAACAGGAGTTCTTAAGAGTGTCATAGACTGCCAAGAAACAAATAGGAGAGGGTGAAACCAAATCTTTTGTTGGAGGCTAGGATTTTGAAGTTCCACCTCACTTTGGGCACGTGGCCATGGGATCTAAGCTTGATTCCAGTTTGTCCTTTTTTTTTTTTATGATAAAAATTTAATATTCTATTAAATTACTTCTGTTTTAGTTATTTCACTCGATCCTCACAATAAGCTTTATGAAGCCGATTAAAAAATGCCTATCCCTAACATATTTATGGATAAGACAGCTGGGAATCAGAAAAGTTGTTGCTGAGTGGAAAGGTCGATATTTGATTTTGCCAACTATAACATAAAAAACTATTCTCCATCATACCTTCTCCTACATTTCTTTTTTTTTAAATTTTTAAAAATAATTTTAATGAACATTTACAGAGATTTTGGATTTCCATTCATTCATTGCTGCACTTTTCTCCCCGCCCAGCCCTCCTCCCCATCCCCATTCACTCCTCTCTTTTAAAAGTAAAACACTCTCTCCCTGGTATACAATCCCCCTGCACCTCTCCCACCACCCCAAGTACATTCCACTATGCAACCTTAATTGTGGACTCTTGTGATAACCATAATATCCTATCATATGTCGCTTTTAAATTATTCTCTCCCTCATCTGTTTCAGTGTAGTATACACAATTTATCCAGTTTTTCTTAGTCTTACCACAACCTTTATATCAGTCCCATTTTATAGCAGTGGCACCATGTCCTTTTGCGACAGAGATATTTCACTCAGCATAATGTCCTCCAGGCTCACCCATTTTGAATAATATTGCATGAGTTCCTTCTTTTTCAATGCAGCATAGTATTCCATTGTGCGAATATACACAGCTTCTCTATCCATTCGTTTGTTGACCAGTTTGTTTTTTATAATTCTTATGATTTTGGGTTTTAGTCCAAGGTCTCCGATCCTCTTTGGGTTGATTTTTGTGTATAGTGTGAGATGTGGATCCTCTTTAAGTTTTCTGCAGGTAAAATCCAGTTTTACCAGGGCCATTTATTGAAGAGGTTGTCATTTCCCCAATTAATAAGTTTTATTTTGTTGTCAAATATCAGTTGACCGTAGGTAGGTCTATTTCTGGGTTCTCGATTCTGTATCATTGGTCTATGTGCCTGTTAGGGTATCAGTTCTATGCTATTTTGATTACTACTGCTGTTTAGCATTGGGAAAATCAGACTTCTTCAGAGTGCTGAAGAGCAACGATGTCAGTCTAGATACAAAAGTGTACCTAATCCAGGCCATGGTCTTGTCAATTACTTGTTATGCTTTAGAGAGTTGAACAGTGACTAAGGATGACAAAAGAAGAATAGATGCCTTTGAGTTGTGGTGCTGGAGAAGAGTCTTGAGCATACTGCCAAGAAAATAAATCTGTCTGTCTTGGAGAGGGTGAAACCAAGTGTCTCCTTTGGGGCTAGGATAGTGAAGCTCTGCCTCCCTTACATTGTGCTTGTGGCCAGGAGAAATCAGTCCTTGGAGAAGGACATCATTGTTGGAAGGGTGGATGGACAGTGCAGGAAGACCCTGGATCAGATGGATTGATAGTTACTGGGGAAATGGGGATTGGTGTGTAAGAATAAGACTGTCTCAGGACAGGGAAGGGTTCAAAGTTGCTGTACATAGGATTGCTGTGCATCACCGGTGACTCAGTGGCACATAACAATAACATACTATGACAGGTATGGAAGCAGGAGTGGCATCCAACTTCCTAAACAACATGCCTCCAGAGACTCTGAACTTTGATAAATGTTGATAGATGTAGGGCTTCATGCCTTTTGTTCATAGGGTCGCTATGAGTCATTCTTGATTTGAAGGCAATCAACAACAGCTGTTGTTTAGTAGGTTCTGAGGTCAGGGAATGCTATTCATTTTTTATTTTCAGAAATGCTTTGCTTATTCAGTCTCTTTCCTCTCTAAATAAGCTTGACAATTTCCCTTTCCATCTCCTTGAAAAAGGAATTTGGTGTCTGTGATCCAAGAGAGTGTGGAAATTATTAAACAGTATAATTAATATCACATGCAAGCAAGATTCTGCCGAAGATTATCAAAATCGACTGGAACAGCACATCAGCAGAGAACTGCTAGAAGTACAGGCTGGATTTAGAAGAGGCCGTGGTACTAGGGATATTGTAGCTAACGTTAG